GGACGACTGAGCTCAGAGAGGCGGAGGTGTAACGTCCTCTCAGCGAGGTAAAACGAGCTGCTGTCACACATAAAAACAGAGCGCAGTAGTATTTATCACGAGCCTGGAGCGCCACTTCGGCTTCTGCGTGCAGAAAGTCAACGTAACGGTAGAATCAGGAGCCGCTCTCTGGCTGTTCACCTCGAGCCGCTGAGGTGGAAAACGCTCTGCAGGAACGTGCGCTTGATTAAACAACTACAAATGTGACTTGGCACCTGTGGAGAGAAACAAACACAAACTGCTCGACTTTACTTAAAGAGGCACTCTGCACTTTAACGTGTTGTTCGAGCTGTAAATGAAACGATGTGACGGTGTTGGTACGGTTTTAAATCACCCTTCCAATGCCGACGCTGACATGAAGTCGACCTGTTGGGACTACTTTACGTCGGCGTATGTATAACGCACCGTACTGGGCGACTGGACAACATACCGGCTGTTTTTTTAAGTAGATTTTTGTCGTTTTATTTTGCTGGTTTAATGGTCAGTGACAGACGAACGAGTGAGAGGGAAAACAGCTGTAGAGCCAGTGCATTTTAACATCCAACTGCAGTGAATTAAGGGTTTATTTCGACTAGTTTGATGACCGGCATGTATTTTTTTAATCTGCTGAGAAGGAGGGAGCTGGCAGAAGTGAGTGCTGCAGTTAAAACTTAAAAACAACATTTACAGGTGGTAATTATCAGGAAGATCTACCTGGATTATTATCAGATATCAACTTACATTCATTCCTCCCGTAAAAGCTTTTTTCCGTCCACAAAGGAACAAATCCTAGAGGTGACAGTCATAAATTACTTCACAGATATTCGAACACCTGATGACGAGTGATCTGAAGCGTCGATGCTACGTTAAGTCACAGCTTTAAAACCGTTCCAGCTTTTGGGGGGGAAAAAAAAAACAACAAAATATACTGGAGTGACACTGGCAACAGCAGAATGAGATCAGTTTCTGCTCGATAAAGACTCTCAGGTCATGAAAAATTTAACAGCCGACTCCACAGAGCGCCGGTTGAAAATAAGCTGCTGCTGCTTATAGTGCGTTCCTCCGACAGCCTGAGCGACTGGAGCAGTTTCATTCCACGACTCAGTAAAACAGAAGTTTCCTGGCAGCTATCGAAAACTAAAAGCTGCAAAATAATATATATAAATATAAATAGTGGAGGCAGAGTTGTGGGGTGATGCGGTCTTACCACGGTTGATATCGGTCATCAGGGAGGGGCTGAAGGAATCGACCACTGAGGCAACGTTCACCTTTGTTTTCTACCTGCGAGTTCAGCCAGCAGTGACGATGTTGTCACGAGGACTCTTGTGTTAGTGGAGGAGCCGAAGGTTGTTCAGACGATTATTTAAGGTTATCTGCATCAGACCCATTAAAGCTCCTTTTGGTGCCGAGTGCAGACAGTCTCTCTACGCTGACTCATGTTTTTAATACAAGCCTCGTGGAAATGTCACGTTATTACAGGACGGCGTAACTACGGCGCGATTATCGAATACTTTGGTAATCGAGAAAAACATACTTTCTGCTTAATTAAAGCCCGATTTATAACAAAATTACGATAAAAACGGAGACAACGATCACTTAATTTAATCATTGTTTCCTTTTTAAGAAAACACTTTATTATTATATATTATTAGTAAACCGTTTCAGGTCAAAATGGTCCAATAAAATAAATCAAATTTACTCAGGACTGCGGGGTTTCGTCAGCCTCCATCTTACACCATGTTTGATTTTTAATTTTAAACATAATCCCACACCTTGCTGGTCTCTTCCTCGTGTTACTTTTTGTTTTGCTGCGTTTTGCTCATTTTCGCTGTTTTCTCGGTAACGGCGTTGGCAGCGATGTGGAAGGGTTAGGCGGACGCACAGCCTGCCTGACGTACGCACGTTGGCTCGTTTACTTACCTTTAATTAAACGAACCGGCTTCGGAGGCAGAGGCAAATTACTGGGGCAGGAATCGTTACATATACAATAACCACTGGGTGGCGATGTAGGTGGGCCTTGAGCTGATACGGGGACCAAAAGTCCATATCCGATATCTATTTAGGCTGAATATCAATATAGATATTACTATCCCGATATGTTTGTCCGCAAACGCTGGAGAGCAAATATTCTCTCTCTCTTCTGCATTACTAACTTTAGAATTAATATTTTTCAGAAAGGCTAAGTTAACGCCTGTTACCCACTCCACCAA